ACTAACTTATTTCACAGTTATTAAATATTTGATTTGAAGTAATAAGTACCTACTATGTGTCAGATACTGTCCTCAGTATTAATGAGAGACAAAATCCCAGACCTCCTGAACCTCACAATTTGAAAGGGGGGAACCAGACACTGAACAACTACTTAAGGGTTGAGTGTGACAAAAGAAGGAACACAGTGATCCCAGAGGAGATCAAGGACAGCTTCCCTGAGGAGGACACGTATGCTGAAATGGAAGGGGGGGTGGGTGGTCCCTGGTGGCGCAGGAGTTAAAGTCTCAGCACTGTCAATCTATCACCAGTCACTGCGGCATGAGTTTGATCTTGGCCAGGGAGGTGACCCACATGGTGCAGCAGACTCTTCTGTCTTGCCTGCTGCTCCCCTCAGCAGTGTATTTCAGTACGTACATCTGCCTGTTCTGCTCCCCACTCTGTCTCCCCTACCTCTGGCCTATACCCCAGTATTGCATGCATGCATAAATAAAAATAAATCTTGAAAAAAAAAATGGTAGGACGAGGGCATGCTGGGCTGAAAGATTTGCAGTCCTGGAATCAGGTGAGGCATCTGGTAGAGGCTGGGGCTGGACTGCTGGCTGGGGTTCTGTGGGTCTGGGGACCACTGTACCTCACTGTTCAGCTTCTGAGGGTAGGAGCCGGGTGATAGGTGGGTGCCCTGATAAGGATCCCCAGAACCTCGGCATCGGGATCCTAGACACTCAGAGATGATGACCTGAGATGTCACAGGGAGTCCTCATGGCACATACAGATGGCAGGTAAGGCCCAGAGGAGGAAGTGACTTGCTCAAGGTCATACAGTATTAGAGCTAGACAGTGTTAGAGGTGGGCCAGGAGCCACACCTGTCAGGCTCACCTCAGCTTCCCCTCTCCTTTGTTCAGACTTCAAATGGAAAATCCCACCCCAGAGAGGTGGCTGCAAGGGTTGGGGGATAGGAGCAGGAAGCCAAGGCCAAAAAGGCCTTTATCCCTTTCCTCTCTGAGAGCCTTCGGGGGGTTCCTTCCAGCTGCTTCTCCCTCCTGTTGGAGGCCCCGATTCTCCACCATGGCACACTTCCCAGTGTTCTGGAAATCCCCCTCAGGTTGGGAGGGGCCCTCCCCCCATTATTCTATCAGGGACCCTCCCCCTATTATTCTCTCCTGCTTTTCCTTCTCCTGCTCCGGAAGCATAACTGTCAGCAAGGTTTGCCTGCCTGGAGTAGCTAAACCTTGTGGCCAGCAAAATCTATACTCTGTTGTTCGTCGGGGGAGAGCCTCCTCTCACCCACCTGCCCCTTGGAAACTCCCCAACCCCAACCCTCAGCACTGTCTCAGCTGCTCCTGGCTTGGCACTTGCTGAAGAAAACTAATGAGAGGAGTCATTGTGTATGTGTTGTTTGGGCCACAGTGAGTGGGGTGTGGTGGGAGAGCAGGTGTGCTACCTCCACCTTCCCTCATTGAACCCCACTATCACTTCTAGCCCCTTGACTGACTTGAGGAAGGAAGCAGGTGGCAGCAGTTTACTGGGGCATGAGGATGAGAACTGTCACACCCCCCCATTATTATACTCCACTGTGTTCTGTGCTTTTGTGTTCTCCTGTCCTCTGTGCCAACTCAGGAAGACTGTCAGCCCCCCTCACAGGTGCCCGCTCTGTGTGTGGCATGAGGGGCAGACAGACAGCTCAGCTTGCAAAGCGTTTAAACTTCTCATCTTGTGGCAAAGTGCTTGATTCCGGGAGGCTCCTGGTGGGCTCTGTCCCAAGGTGAGCCTCTTTATATATATATAATTTTTTAAGTGTTTACAATTTTTTTTTTTTTTTGCATAGAAGACTAGGGTGTAGGCCAGAGATGTGTGTGTGAGAGGATTCACCAGAGACAGAGTGGGGAACAGAACAGGCAGACTGAGTGAAATACACTGCTGAGGGGAGCAGCGGGCAAGACAGGAGAGGTCTGCTGCGCCATGTGCATTGCTCCCTGGCCGGGGATAGACCTCAGCCGTAGCATCTCGGTGAGGCCTTTGCCATCATTCTCTAAGAGGCACTCAAGCCCAGTCTTGTCGTCCCAGGAGTTCCTGTCCATCCCCTGTTCATGCCACCTCTTCCTTCCACCAGTCCTGCCCCGGGCTCTCCCATGCTCCTGGCTGTTGGCAGATTCTCTTTCCCCAGCATCCTGGAGCAATCACAGCCACTGCAGTGAAAGACTGTGAGGGGGTCCTGGGCTCCCCCGCCTGTCCTCCAGATGTCCCTGTCCACAGAGTTGTCACCACCACCTCGGCCAGTATGCAGGCCCACCCTCTCCATCCACCAATTTCTGTTCACATACCTGGCACACCTGCTGTGAGCCTGAGTTACTAAGAGGAGCGAGGCAGTTACTGCCCGGGAGGAACTTGTTTTCTGGCTGGAAAGGCACATAATCCAACAAATGGGTGTCTTGAGACAAGTGCTGGGGTGGTGGTACACAGGGTGCTGAGGAGGCCTCTGATCAGAGGGCAATGCTGATGCCTTTGGGGGCACAGAACTGAGCTGGGGGAAGACTTCATGGAGTAGGCTGTCGAGCAGGGTCTTGGGGACAACGAGGAGTCTTCCCAGCAAAAGTGAAAGAGGAAGGAACACTAGTGAAACCTGGAGGTCGATGGGGAGGGCATGGGGTAGTGGCAAGCAGTTTTGTGTATGTAAGAATGAGAGGGGTGAGGCAGGAGATGTGGCTGAACCAGTGAGAGTGTGTATGGGCAGGGAGGCAGCTCTGTGAAGGCCTCCTGCAAAAGTCAAAGCACCTGCTATGCTCCAGACATCCTTCTAGGCTCTGCATACCTGCTCTCACTCAATTCAAACCAAGGCATTTGAACTTTACTCTGGAGTGTTATCTCTGCTCCCCATACCAGCTATTCTCTTTATGGGCCTCAGTGCCTGCATCTGTAAATTGAGGGAATTGGGCTAGTAGGTCTCTGAGGTCTCTTCCAGCTTTGAGAGTAGGACCCTCTTTGTGTAAAGCAAGGGGACAGCTTGGTATACAGTATATGCTCAATAGTATTTTCTGGATGGATGAATAAAACACCAGTCCCTGGGACTGTTCTGTGGTCAATCTCAGACTCTTAGCAAGAGATGGGCTTCAGGGAGGGTGGGAATCAGCTTTGACCCTTCCATTTTTCAGGGAGGGAACAGGGTATCCTGGGTATGAGAGGCAGCATGGTGTAGTGAAGGGACTTGTCCAAGTGGCAGAAAGGATGAAATATATGGGGATTAGAAATGAGGGCTTGGGACCTCCAGTCTAGCCCACTCTCAGCTACACCACACTGCCCTTCCTCAGAAAAACAGGGCAGAATTATGGTGAAGGAGAGCGCTGCCCAGGGCCTTGGGAATAGGGCTCTGTGAGGATACAGAGGAGGGGCAGCCTGACAGCCTGGAAGGCTTTCAGAAGAGGTGGCACTTGGCATGGGTTTTGAAAAACAAAGACTTGTATAAGGAGAGCTGGGTGAGGGACACACAGCTCCTCATGGGTGGTTTTACAGGTTTACCTATGGCTTCATTATTTACACACACACACACCCCAAATGTAGATATGGGCAAACACTCTACAAACATAATTGCAATTACACATTATGCAAAACCACATACAGTTACGCAGTCTTATAGAAAAAACTTACATGTATACAGGCAGACTGCTACACACTTAAACATATAAAAGTCAGTCCTATTTAGCCACTCTTGGAGACAATTGCAGTTACATAGGCAGATGCACAAAAGCACATATCCAGACATGTAAATAGACATAGTTATACTGATACAGGCACACAGTCACATATAGATGATCACATAGAGAGGACCCACATGTTCAGGGTCTCGGATAAAAGAACTACACAGCCACATTCAAGTGTGCAATTACAAATGCCCAATCACATGCCCCCCTTCAAGGCCATACAGAGGCATAAAGTGGAGGGGTGGCAGGATGGAGTAGTAGATATTGGAGTCAATCTGATCACTTCTCGGCCTTTTGGCCAAGATCAAGTTTGGAGTCAATCTGGATTTGAGTACTAATTCTGTGTAGCTTATTGCTGTTTGACTCTGGATGAGTCAGTTGACTTCATGGAACCTCAATTTCCCCATCTATAAAATGGGAATGATAAAAGGACCCACCTTACAAGTTTTTTTTTTTTTTTTTTTTTAAGATTTATTAATGCATACAAGAAGTGGGGTGTAGGTCAGAGGGGTGTGTGTGTGTATTTACCAGAGACAGAGTGAGGAGCAGAACAGGGAGATCTACTGGAATACACTGCTGAGGGGAGCCTTGGGGGAGACAGGTCAGGTCTGCTACACCATGTGGGTCAGTTCCCTAGCCTGGGATCGAACTCATGCCGCAGTGGCTGGCAGCGTTGACTTTAACCTCTGCACCACCCAGGAGGCCCACAAAACTTTTGTGGATGAAACGAAATAATGCTTGAAGGCAATTATCACGGTGCCTAGCACATAGTGAGCACTATGTAAAAGGGTGTTACGATTATTTTGACCATTACACAGAACCAGATCCGTACATTTGTACACACAGGCACGGGGCCAGGTGATGCACGTGGCACGTGACACAGAGGTGGTGGGCCCTGGCCGCAGCAGGCCCGCCTCGTGGAGCCTGGGCCCTAGCTCTTTAGCTCCACTGCAGTCCTCAGAGGGGCGGCCTCCGCCGGGAGGGGGGCACCAGCCGGCCCCACCGCGGCATGCGGGGCCTTTTCCGGGGCGCCGGCCCGGGCGGGCAGCTCAGCCGATCTCCCTGGCCCCGGGGGGCGGGGCCGACGGGACGCGCGCCAGGCCCCGCCCCTCGCCAGGCCCCGCCCCTCGCCAGGCCCCGCCCCGGCCCGGCCATTGGCCGCAGCGGCCGGGGGTGTGGCCGCGCTGGGCCGGGGGCGCCTGCGGTGGCCGCTAGCGCGTCTCGCTGCCTCCCTCCCGGGGCTGCGGGCCCGGCGGCCGGCTCGGTGGGCCGCGCTCGGCTTCCGCGCCGGCTCCGCGCCCGCCATGGGCAACTCGCACCACAAGAGGAAGGCCCCAGCGGCCCCCGGGTCCGCAGCTTCTGGCGGTTCGGGCGGGCGGCGAAGCGAGCTGCAGGTAGGGGCCGGGGTGGGGGCGGGGCAGCGGGGAGGAGGGGGCCCCCTGCCGCTGCTGCCCCCTTCCGGGGCCTGGAGGGTGTGAGCGTGGGGGGCCGGGAAGCCCCGCGCAGACCCCACCCCTCACATGCACACGGACACACGTACACATGAATGCCCACAGGCGGGCACACGTCCTGGTGCACACTTCGCAGCCACACCGAGCACCCACTCAGACGTGCGGACGTGCAGACACACAGCCCACCCCCGCCACGCTGCTGACTGCACAGATCCTGAGCCGCAGGTACATACACCTATGCACGCGATTTACACAGCCACCCGAGCTGCACACAGCTTCAGACACAGGCGCACTCACACATCGGTCATGCAGGTACAGTTGCCCAACGTCTACATGCACGCACGGTGCAGAACTGCCCAGCCACGGGGCGCTCAGGGTCGAAGGCTGACCCCAGGGTGGGTGCACACACACGTGCACACACACGCACACACATGCACACACGCACAGGTGGGCGCGTGCTTTCCCGAGGCTTTAGCCCCCCCGCCCCCCCACAGGCTGAAAGTTTGCTGGAGGGAGGGGAGACAAAGGTGGAGGGGAGAAGCAGGAAACCCGGGGCTGGAGGCTCGGGGCCGCCTCCATCTGGCGCGAGCGGGAGTCGGACTGGTTCTCCGGGCGCCCTCCCCACCCCCACCCCCGCTGCTGCTGCCGCTCTCCGCCCCCTTCCCCCCACCCACGGTCCCTGTGGTCGCTGGCTGTCGCATCTCCCCCCTTTCAGTGCAGCCACCGGGCTGGAACGCAGCCCTGCCCGCCCTGCTGCGGGATCCCTCCGCGGGTCACATTCCTGCTTCCAAGTGGGGGCAGGGTGGAAAATGGGGAGGCCTCCACCCGAGGGCTGGGGATGTATGTGTGTTGTTGGTTTCCCCCACTCGGTGCCGCAGTTCGTGGTATCCCCCAGAGTACCAAGGGGTGCAGGAGGAGAGGCTGTGGAGCATGCCTAGTTCCCTTACCTGGTGAATCCAGAGATGGGGTGGGGAGCGTCAGCCCCTACCCTCTTGGAAGATAAGGGGTCTCTAACAGAGGTCTGAGGGAGTGAGAGAATCCCGCATAAGGGGTGGGGTGGGGCCCCCTGCTGTGTGGAGAGAATCCACCCATATCATCCTAGGATGGCCCACATTCCTAGAGGTTCGGGAGCTGAGCTGGATGATCTCATCCCTCCACACAGGGGGTGATAGACGAGCCTGGGCTGGGAACTAGGGGATCTGGGTTCTCCTTGTAGCTCTGGCCTGGGCTCTGGTGACCTTGAGTGGATTGCTTTCACGTCTCTGGACCTCCCTGGCTTCTACGGGGGGCCTGTCTGTGAAATTATGGGGGAGACTTAGCTGAGGTGACTTCTTGGAACCCTTACAGCTCTGGCTCACCTTCTTGTGGATAAATACATGGGGTCTAGAAAAGGGGGGGCTTGTGCAAGGTCATTGTGTTGCATGGGTTTGAGTAATAATGATAATCGAAACAACGGGACAAGGCTTAATTAAGTTCTGAGGAGTCTCCAGAAGGTGAGTTGATGAGGGACTCCTGGACCTTCCAGCAATCCTGAAATCTGGACTGTGCCCGCTAGTCTCTTAGAATCTGCCTTAAGTGGATGGGACTGGACACGGGCTTTTCATCTGCCCTCCCATGACCACGCTAATCTGGTGTTTTCCTGTGAAGCAACTGTGGGTCCAGACGTGTGACTCTTTGTGGTGGGGGAGAGAGATTAAGAGGGCTATGTTTTCAGTCTCCTCCCTGCTGGCCCTTAAGAGACAGGAGGCTTCTAGCAAACTTGTACTCTTCCAGTTCCTGGTGCACCTCAAGGATCTACCAAGCTTAGGTGCTTCCCCACCCCCCAAACCAATGTCAAGGCAACACAGAAGTGTGAGGACTGGGGAATCTTCTAGGTTATATATCAAAAGGCTTTTGGGTGGGGGTCTGCTTTAGAAAACTGGGAAGTTTTCTTAGTTTGGTCTTTGAGCAGTTGCAGAGTTGGAATTAGTCCTGAATTGTTGATTAAATGTGAGAATATGGCCAGGGATGCCATAGGAGTGAGTGTGGAGGTTGGAGAGAACAGTAGCTGAGGCTCCTTCCTTGTGCCTGTGAATGCAAACTTCAGTCCCTTTGAGTAAATGACTTGTGCTGAGGATTCGGGGTCTTCCTCTCCGCCTCTGCTGTCACAGGTTCAGGTGTGAAGCTGGGGCTTGCGTCCTTACTTAGCCACTTGACTAGCCTGAGAGGATGAGGGAAGGGATGTGAGGCCAGCAGGATGGAGTCTACAGACCACAGGGAGCCAGTGAAGGTGTCTGAGCAAAGGAGGGCCGAGGACAGTGATGTGTTGGGAAGATGGCTCCAGGGTGGGGGCAGGTGGAGGCAGGACAGGTTGGGGTGCAGGGCGGTGAGAGTGGAAGCTCAGCAAGGAGTCAGGAGGCTGTTGCAGCAATCCAGGGGAGAGGTGATGAGGTGAGGACCAGAGACAGGGTGAGGGCTGTGGGAGTGGAGAGGAGTGGCAGCTACGGAGGCGCTGTGGAGGAGGTGGCAGAAGTGATAGGACAGGGAATTAATCAGATGTTGGCAGTAAGGGCCCGAGAGGGTTGTCAAGGCTCTGTGCTCTGGGCTGCTTGGCTGGGGGATGGTAGCAGAGATAATAATGCAGAGATAAAGAGTAAGACCCTATGCTAAGCCTTTCAACAGAGTTTCAGGCTGGAAGCCATTCTCCCCTTTGCACAGAGAAGGCAGCGAGGACTCCGAGAAGTGAAGGCAGTTTCCAAAGCTGCTCAGCACGAAGCTGGCTAAACCGGGATTCACACCCAAACCTGTCTGATTCCAAAACCTGCGCCCTTACCCAGTTTTAGGATAGATGGGTTTCCATCTATGAATGAGGGGCCTGCAGGTCTTCTGGCCAAAGAAAGCCTGAGGCTGTGGGGGATTTGGACTCTGTGGAGAAAGCACTATGGGTGAAGAGCAGGGGTTGAGGATGAAGAAGTGAAGCCCCCATGGGCTCCGAGACGGAGCAGGTGGGAAGTGGGAGAAGAAAGCTAGGTGTAAGGAAGCGCTGGGCCCATTGATCAGATGCTCTTGAACGGGAGAGAAGACTGAGGGTGGATGGAGAGGGGCCTCCCCACCACTGGAACGATGCCGTCACCGGCTGAGATTGATTGGTTTTGGTTGGTAGGAATCCAACCCAACCCTCTCCTGGGCCAGCCAAGACACTTGGTCCTGGCAGGTTGGGGATGACTGGAGGACCCGAATTAGGAGCACCTCCCGCCTGTTCACATGCATTGCACTGTCTTTTACACAGATGGCCTTCCTCCTGGTAGGGTTAGGGTTCTCATTTTGCAGATGAAGAAACTGAGACTCAATCATTGGGACAGTCAGACCAGTTGGAATTCTTTTCACCCCTCCCCTTGCCTCTAGGCTGCTGTGCCAGGGTCTTTGGTCGGTCCCCTAGGTGGGAGAAGGCCGGTCCCCTAGCTGGGAGAAGGCCGCTCCTCCAGTGGGGAGAGGGGGAGGCCAGCTGCTTCTTTTGTCTCCTCCCCTTTCCTGGGGAGCAGATGTGAGAGCAACTTGCTATCCAGACTTACTTGTGGGAGCCCTGGCCTTCCAGATAAAGGGCTGGCCCAGCTGTCTCTGGTCTGGGAGATCTGAGATAAGCCCACTGCCCTTGTTGCCCTAAACCCTGACCAAAAAAATGGGGGGCCCACTGCCTGCCTCCCAGGGACTCTTTAGAGGTTATCTCTTCAACTCTCCCACCTTACAGGTGAAGAATCATGGGCTCAGGATCATGCTGTCATTGAGGGGCACCAAGAGCTCAAACTTAGGCTCCTGATTCCCAGGATGGTCTGGTCTGCGCTCAGAATCCCCTTTCCTCCCCAAGAGGAGGGTTTGGGCTGCCGGATTGGGCGGACTCATTGAGGAGTGATAGGGAGCTCATGTTAAGTGTCCCTTATCAGACCTTATCTTAATAATGGCCCTTAATGCCACTTGAGATTTGTAGAGCGCTCCGGAAGTGGGTGGGAGAGGCGGCCTCTTGTGACTTGGGGAGATTTTGCAGCCTGTCATAGCTGGTGCAAATCCTGACTGTGTTTACTAGCTGTGTGACCTTGGGCAAGTCCCTGACTTTTGGGGGAGTATCTGTAAAGTGAGCCAACTTAGTGAGACCGTGTCTGTCTTAATCAGTTAGTACTCAACAGCTGCTAGTTGTTATTGTGTTGGAAGTAGAAAGGCAGAAGGCTTGAGAGCTCTTTATCATTCCCTGGAGAAGGAAAGCCCCCTCCCCCGTTACCAGATTTCGTGTTTACACGTGGTTGCCTGGCTTGCTTTATCTCTCCCAGGCGCTGTGGGGTGGATGTTAGTCCCTCTTTACAGATGAGACAACTGAGGCCAGAAGTTGATTCATAGGTTCATGGCTTGGAATCCAGGCCTCCTGACTCCCAGCCTTTAACACCTGGCTTCATGGCTGCTACCTCTCCAGCATCTATAAAGCGAGGATAATCATGCCTTGAAGAAACAGAGGAAAGGGTTTTGGAAAGTCAAAATTGCTCCCTGACTGAAAGAGACTATTATGTCATTGTTAGGAGCAGATACCTACCCGGAAACTCATTATGACATTTATTAATATTATTGTAGCTAATTCTTCTCTGAACAACTGCCTCTTCCCCCAGGCACCTGCTGGATGGGATCCTCCCCTCCCGGTCCTGACACTCCCTGCCCCCCAATATTTACCTTAGAACCGGCCTGTCAGCTCTGCTCCTGCTGGGGTGGGGTTTCACAGAGGGAAGCAAGGAGGGGATTCCCTGTCTTTAGAAGCAGGGTACAGAACTCCCCCCTTTGGACAGGAAGTGAGGCTGTGGCCCCCTGACCCTTAGCTTCCTCAGACTTAGGAACACTCATCCACTCATCGGGAGTGAGACCGAGGCTGGACTGCTTCCTGGTAGGGTGACCTTGAGCAAGTCACTTTGCTTGCACCACCTGTG